TTTGTAAAAATATTTATTAAAAAAATGTATTTAAAAACATTTTATTAAAAAAAATGTATTTAAAAAACTTGTGAAATTATTTTTTAGTAACTTTTTTTTGTAAAATTTTTTTTTGTAAAATATTTTTTGTTGTAAAAACTCCTGTTGATCCCAGAAGGGTCAGATGAAGGTGAAATTATAGACTGCAAAGATTTCTAGACCTTTTCTGGCCCACATCCAATATGATCCAGGATGTGGGCCAGAAAAGTTGGCCCAACTGACAACTTTTGGTACGTCGACGGTCTGGGTCTCAGTTTGGCTCCTGGCTGTAGGTATGCACATGTACACCAAAAAAAAAATCCCTAAATCCTTTCCTTTAAGGTGAGTACCTGAGGTGTATATTTATCTCAAACGTCTAGAATTACTGAGCAAACGAGTACTTTCATCGCCATGCCAACAGGACACGTGTGATGACAGAGTCTAAAAACAACTACCATCGGAGCCTCTCACTCCACTCCATTTACACCGCTTATTAGCGCTAAAAGCTAACCATTGACACGTTTGACAGAGCTCCGCTTGTGCCGCGCGTCGTGACATCATCGTCACTATGTGAAGGATGAATGGAGTCGAAAAAAAAAAAACCCTCACTGTGTCCTGCAGTACCAACAGGAGCAGGAGCAGAAGGAGGAGGAGGAGGAGGAGGTGAAGAAGGAGGAGGTTTGTTGATCGAAGCAGACAAAGGCTGCCATTCAAATTCTAATTTTACATCCGGACTCCTTTTACGCTACACGTGCTGAGGCGGCGAGTGAAAGCTGTGAGTGTTTCCTGTCTGTTCTGGCTTGATGGCACCAGAGGCTCAGACCTACTGTAAGTAGAAGTGTTTAAGTATACTATTTAAAAGAACCCACACTGACATGTTACTGTTCTTAGTAAAAGTACTGAAGTACAGTCAATAAAAGTTAAGAAGATTGAAGTTAAAAGTAGGGGAAAAAAGTTACATTTAATTCCCACTGGACCCTGTATTTCTACTTTTAAAACATGCAGATCCAGCGAGCTGATACTCCATCACTGCTTTTCACTCCAACCAGCCAGTCAGTGCTGACTGTTTTCCTGCAGCAGTCGAGTTTCTCATTGTCCTCATGGCTAGTTTATTTTAAGTAGATCAACAAGGTCAGAAGTTTGGAGGAATTTTTACACAAAACGTTAAAGTAAAGACGAAAATCCAGGTCCTGGAAAATAGATCAAACTGATTTACAGTAGAGCCAAAGAGAAAAAGCTGGTACATTTTAGGGGAGTGAGAAAAAAAACCCCTGATCAAATAACATCTGTCTTAATACTTGTCGACTTATCTCCCGTACATATTAAAGTGTTTTTGATTTACTGCTCAGCCAGCAGCAGACGCTCCCGTACATATTAAAGTGTTTTTGATGTACTGCTCAGCCAGCAGCGAGGCTCTCAGCGACCAGACATGACACCTAATCTCCCACTCAGCCGAAGAGGACGATAATCTGATCAGTCTTAACACAAGGCTGGAAGTGAGTGCTCCGAGCGGCTGACAGCGGGAGGAATTCCTCCACTTCCACAGCTGTCAGGACCCACTGGTGACTCTTCCCCTCCGAGCAAAGCTGCTGTTTGCTTTCTCTAGATTCTGGAAAACGCCGCGTCTGCGGTCCCTGCCCGTCTTTCCCAGGGGTCCCGCGCTCGGCCCTGGTAGCGTGAGAGCTGTGAGCAGCGCAAGCGGATGATGGTTTCTGATTGGCTTTTGAAGGGGAGGTGGGTCCAGGGTGTGGGGAGGGAGGTGAGGGATCGTGCCCCCATGTCAAAACAAAACCACTGTCTGTTCCAAAGTTTGTTAAATCTGAGCGTGAGCTGGATGGAACTGGATCTGACGCAGCGTTTAGTCCTGCGTCTCCTCTGAGGTGGGTTGAAGTGACGCAGAGTACAGAGGAGAAAACATGGTTCTAATCAGGGGTCATCTGGGGGGGGCAGGGGGTCATCACTACAGACGAACTGTGTTGGAATGAAAATAAAAAAAATGGCTGGATTTTATCTTGTAACTACGAAGATCAGAGAAATAAAATCAGTCAAAATAAACACATATTATTATTAGAAAATCCACTTTTTAAAAACTTAGGAAATGCAACATTCTTTGCAGAAAAGATAGAAAAACTAGGAAAATTAAGTGAAGTTCGAAAAACATAAAATTGACCCAGAACTGCCAGAATCATAAAATACAACAGTAAGTAAAAAAACATAACTTTGAGTTAATCTATAATTAGCTACAGCTAGTTTAGTCCACACCAAGCCAGAAGTCAGCCAAAAAAATCTAAAAAAAATTTAGCCGAACAAAAACGAATAGTTAGCCTAAATACAGCAACAATTAGGCCAAAATAATAAAGTGTGTGTTCACTGACACTCATCTCGTCGTCTCATCACTGACAGTGAGAGTGACATCAGTTCAACAATCGGTACCAGTCGAGAAAATGAACTCTAAAATCAGGGAAAAAAAGTGAGTAAAGGTGGAAACAGAGCATCAGAGCAGAGTGACTTTTCAGATGCATCGTAAATGAAAGACGGCCTTTGTCTGAGTGTGTGTCTCTGAGAGTGTGTGTCTGAGTGTGTAATAAAGAGCTTTGTCTCCCACGTGTTAGTGCCTCTCGTCCTACCCTCTCATACCTCCAGCTAATGCCCTCGGCTGCTTTAATATTTCATGTTCAGATCTCCTACATCACAGGGCGCGGCCCGGGCCAAATGCATCAGACTGTGTGATACGACCGCTCGGCTGCTGGGCATCAAAGTGGAGCTGGATCAAAGTGCTGCGGAAAACGCAGGAAGGAATTCCTGATTATGATGCAGTAATGTTCATGAAAAGACTATAACTCAACCAGGGAAACCAGAAGACCATGCTAAGCTAATGAGGCTAACGCGGTGATTTGAATTTAAATGTCAGATGAGCAGATGGTAAAATTCACACCGTGAACTAGAAGACCTACACCTGCAGTCACACAGGGGAATTCAACCCGTGGCTCATCAACGTCGGTCGGATGCTGTGGAACACAAGGCTGGGCTGAAATGTCCCTTTTAAATATAGTGAAACAACATGGTGTCACTGTAGTCGTTAACTGGAGATTCGTACTGTACTGCAGTTTCACCTGAAACACCGGTGTTTTTCAACCTCAGGGTCACAACCCCATGTGGGGTCGCCTGAGATGTCTAGTTATATATTAAAAAATAACTGATAAAAATATTTTTTAAAAATGATGATTAAAAACAACTCACACAAAATAAATTGTCACTTTTCCTCCTAAAATAACGAACAAGATCTGAAAACATTCTAGAAAAAAGAAAAATTCTCTGAGGTCACTAGAAGTTTTTACCTCCACAAGATCTGAAAACATTCTAGAAAAAAAAAATTCTCTGAGTTCGCCAGAATTTTCTACCTCTATTTTAAACGCCTGACATATTTTCTTGGTGAATTTGATTTGGTGATAAACTCCATGGTCTAAAGATTCTGACCCAGTCGTCAGAACAGAACTCTCTCCTCCAATGACGTGCCTTCATCTCCTAACACCATCTAAATGAAAGTACAGCCAGGCTCCGCCCTCTCCTCGCCGTATTACTGATACGTCCTCTTTTTAAAGGGACACATGGGGGTCATACAGGCCCGGGGACAGATATGAGGAGGGTGAGCCTTCATCACATCTCACCTGTTCATTTTCTCATGGAACATCTGAAGCTCCTGACTCCGAGGAATGTCGGAGAGCAGAGCAACACAGGACAACATTCTGTGTCAGATTATAATAAATCCATGCCTCACTGTGAGGCATGAACTGTGACCAGTGTCCAGCAGGGGGCGACTGTGACACTTGGACGTGTTTAAAAAAAAAAAAAGTTTTATTTTAGTCCTGAAGCCAACTTTACAAAAACAAACTTCCTCTGTGAAAAGGAGCTGGTATTTCTGAGCTGTCCTTCAACTGTAATCCTTGTCTGTAGCAGTTGTGCTAAATGCT